GAATCCACATATCTACAGCTGCATAGTCGCTACTGGGCTCCTAGTTGCGATTAGACGTCATCCTCTGTGGCGCATAGGTTCTCCAAACCAAGTTCTTCCCAAACGTAGAGCAGGTCCCTCATCTGGGCTGTGTTTAGGTGGTGTTGCTACGATCAAGGGTCGCGCTCTAGGGGTTCAATACGATATCCCATTCTGTTGAAGTAAGTACTTTTGATTGACGGTAATTGGGCGCTGGTAAGACCCTGGCTGGCGTTCTCACGTGCTGCGATGTCACCTTCGATCTAACAACAGCTGCTGCACCCTGCAGAAACACGAGCGGTGCGGACCCATTGTGGGATTCTGTCCAAGAAAGTGATATGTTAGTCAGCACACTTTCCAGGTTAACAACCTGGTCGACGGACTACTTAAACTCAGTCCTTTAAACCACCTCTGCGCTCTTTCGCGAGTCCGCGTTTTTCTCCAACGCTTAATCCCAGAGTATTTACCTGTTATTCCAACCGTCTGTGCTCTATCCATTCGCCTATCATCTATCGTCAGCTTCCACCGTCCCTAGGCAAAGTGCTCCATCATTTTGACGATCAGAAATTAAGTTCACTCTGAACGGCATTTCACCGAAGAAGGCCATCTATCGATGGCGCGCCGACGTAAAGCATAGGCGATGAGAAGTGGAATTCAAAGCACCGATAGAGAATGTGGTAACCAAAAGGACGACCACCAATTGCTCGTTCATCATTTACAAGTGTCAACGGAACAACCGCTAACAAACCAACTTTGGCAAGTAATTTTGGCGCAACATGTAATCTGTCCATGAAAGGACCTATAGTTGAGGAAGGACGTGCAACGAAGGAGAACCTCTCAGCGGTATGAATCCCTTTCCTCGAGTTTCTGCGATTCGTCCGCTTTGGCGATTCATTCCCAACAGCAGAGACGCAGGCGGTCAATAACACTGGCCCCTTTTGAAAGTAGGACCCCCTGGAATGATAGGCCCTGAAGCACAACCGTTTCATCAGTCCCTCGGCGCTCTCAACGATCTCTTGCTGCATTTTGGGGATGAGTATTTTTCCCGGCCGGGACTGCTGACTCGGGCTTGCTGCACCTGTACCCCTGACGTAAGATCCGGTGTTGCGTGTGTATACATCCTACTTTCCGCCAATTTTGAATCTCTTCATTACGGACTGAGGTTAAGCTTCGACAGAACCGTGCGCTGTTACTGTTCCTTGCGCATTGCTTTCCCACCAGTTGAATAACGCTCAAAGGAGCTAAAATGTCTTCTCGCCGGCTTGACCTGGCCGATATTAAAGCTCTTCTTTCATCTGGTAATCGCATAGTTCAAAGTCAGGTATGTTTCAATTTGTTCCTACTTCATCAGTAAGGCTGTACTTTTCAGGGGCTCTCTAACTTGTTTGCACATTTAAAACCTCCTTTTAATAATGCTAAAGAGCGGATATCGGTCCTATCTTTGTTATTCGATTGTTTCACATGTTATGGTGATAATGTTTCGCAGTGGTGCTCAGACGCGGTTCCATTTCTTATTAATTCAGGTCAGTAACTTAATAATACATTTTTTCATTATTTTGATGACTTGTTCCACATTTACGGGAAGGATGGAGTTCTTCATGGGCGGCTCCTACCAGCTCTTACTAGTTCACAAGTAAATGAAACTCTCTTTTAGCTAATTGCTGGCAGTACTAAAGGAAACGGACATAATCCAGTTCTTTGTAGAACCACAGCTTAGCCAGTTCTGCACCTACGCAGTTGGCTCTAATTGCTAAAGCATATTAGTCTGAGAATTCACAGCAGAAACTGCGCATTCACACTAACATCATGATTCGTAGGCGTTGTGATAAAAAAAAACATCTCACAAAACTACAGAGTGAGGCAAACCCGTTGGTAATTCAGTCGTTGAAGCTTATTCGGTTTTGAAAGATCCTTGTCTTCATTCGATTACAATAAGATTCTCTTTATCAAATGCCGTTCAAATTTTGTCTTTCTGCAATGCTGGAAGCATAGCCTTAACAAGCTTCTATCGTCGGCCTGCATCGTCAACAGTTCCAATCGACCTCATTCTCTGGCCTCTGGAGGAACCAGAAGTTTTGTTTCGAAAGCGATCACGAGGCTGGAGGTGGTCAGTACGTATTGTCGAGCAAGGGGCTTATTAAGAAGTTTGGCGAGCGAACGCGCTTGAATCAAGCGTGGTAGTGAAAAAGATTGGCTGGGGGAGGAGTCCTATGTCACCTATCCTCAGTGGGCTGGATCTCTTCGTCTGGAGCATTGCATACAAGGCGTGCGTAAAGCTTTCATAACCTCGGTTGCTTGATGGAAGCTCTAACCTTGGCGTCTTGAAGGAAGCTCTGTAGAGGCATGGGATAAGTGGACATTGATCACCTACGTTTTTGCATAGCGTCTCTGTGAAGTGAAGAAGCCCTTCGAAGGATCATACTCTCTCTTACAATTTTTTTTTCTATGACGAGTAATCAGTTATATAAATTTGTTGAAGTTCCTGCTGCAGTGATATTTATATGGTTTCATAATTTTGCCTTACCTTGTACAAGTTGCTGAGCTTGTTGTTTGATGTAGTTTCCCTGAAGTTGCTCGCACCGATTTTCAGGTTTTGTTACTTTGGATGAAGTATGCTCACATTGCATCGTTAAACTATGCAGTAATGAAACTAGCGCAACATGTTCGGCTATTTTAATTCGAACATTGCTGCAATCTTCCACTTGTTTGACTAGGCAAGTTTTCATTTCTCTAACGCTTTAGTTCACCTTTATAATAAGCTTCACCAAAACCCGCTCACCTCACTGGCGAATTGATTGACGAAATAGTAAGGTTCGTCTGAGGAAGAAGCGAAGCTAGCCGTTTTATTTTTTCGTTCTCTAATGTCTTCCTTTCTTGATTTCACGGTACGCTGTATGGACTTATTCAGAATTTTTTAGGGTGTCCCTCATACTTTCAGAACATCACTTTCAGAATTGCTTTACGTTTACAGAATCCTTGTTCAGCACCTGCTTCACGATTCTCCAGAAGTGCAAGTTCTGTTCTGATGTTCTAATCCGTGAGCTCTTAGCTCTTGAGGTTTCAAAGTGAGTCACTAGTGCACATTTTTTTGAAGCACATTTCTGGATGTTCATTTTAGTCCGCCAAAAATTACTTTCATTCGCCCCATACGTAA